TGCCAGGGAGGCGGAGAGAAAGAGAGAGAGAGAGAGAGAGAGTGAGGGTGAGGACTATCGCGGCGGCAACAGAGGGTCGAGGACGAAACGAGTATTCGTTGGTTCAAAGGAAAGGTGGCTGGAGGTGGCTCGCTTGGATGTCCAAACAGAGATACAGTTCATTTTTCTTCACTGCTACACCGTAAGGCAGGGAGATTATGTCCAGGCTGGTATCGATGACAATGGCGAGAATCGAGCACCTCTCAACCTATTCCTCCGTTTGTTTTGCTTTCCCGCGCGATTTGTCATCCATTGTCCGACCGAGCAACGGTTTCGCCTCGCCGCGAATCGTTATTTATGGTTTCCGCTTGATTAATTTTTGCCTCATCTTCGTATCGCGATATCTCTGAAATTGTCCGCGTCAAGCGCAGACGCTTCCGCGGCTGACACTCGATTTACAACGATTTTACAACGCGTTTCCATTGCCGGTGGAAATTGTGCGCGTGAAAGTAGAACAACGATGGAAACGAGCGAGAAAAAAATTTTTTCTACGAAAACTTTCGTAACTTATTGGTATTGGGTATTCATCGAGGCATGATCGTTGGAGTAAAATCTCTTCGTCGAATTTTATCCCGTGGAGGGATACGAAGGGATATCCCTTCCTTGGAAGAGAGGGAAAGAGGCACGTTTTTAAGATTCGATTAAGATGACGATAATGCGGGGCGATAGCCTGGGAAGGCAGAGATGAATTTAATATTCCGAATCCGGGTAACGCGATTTCACCGGACGTCAGCCTTGAAATGCGTAAGTATTATAAATACGATTTCCCTTTTCGATTCATCGAGGGGATGGAGGGATCGCTTCGCGGCTCACCCATTTCCGTCCAACCTGTGTTTTCCAATTTCTTTCTTTCTCTCTTCCTTTCTTTCTCGCTTTCACGCCTCGACGTGTTGGAATCGAATTATCGTGATACCCCCGGTTGACACGAGCGGGAGAACGAAGAAAGAGGAAATGGTAGAGCAATCGGAATCCCTCTTCTTGAAATGCTTCTCGAGATATCGATAAGAGTACCGCCGGGTTGGCTGATTAATTCAAATCGCATAATGCAAAGCGGTGGATCGATGGACGAGCGAGTGGAAGAGCAAGGCGGAGGAGAGGAAGAAGAGTCGAGCGAAGGGTGGAGGAAGGGGAACAGGAAAAAAATAATGCGAAATATCCCGATTCGCGGACACCTATGTTCTACCCTCCCTGTCGTTCATCCCCCCTCCACCTCTCTCCTCCTCTTTTTTTCTCCATAGCAGACCCTTTATACGTCGACCACAGTATCGACAGGAACGGCACCCCTTAGCTAGAGGGGGACCTTCGAGGCTGTTCCATTGTGCAACGTTCGCGCAAGGGTTGCTTGAAATACGCGCGTCTGATTTTTCTCCATTCTTTTTCAACGCGTTCCCATCTCTCTCTCTCTCTCTCGTTTTCTCCCTCCTCCTTCTCCCCTCCCCTCCTTCCATTCCTGGTGTCCCTGCGATCGTTCAAGTAACGAAGAAAGTCGACGAGATATTGGGCGCGGTAACGTGAGAATGACACAACAGATGCGGTGGAATGAAATTACAAGTGTCCCCGGATTCATTGTGCCCCAGGCGGGCGCGCAGGAGTTGTGCTTTTTTTAGCGAAATTGTTGTGACAAGCATTTCAACCGGTGCTCAACTCTTGGCGCTTCCTTTCTTCTCTCGATTCCGGTACACGGGCCTCCCCTTTCCGAATAGGGTGGTCTCATGACACTTTTACGGTGTCAAGTCCTGGTCTTCTGGGAAAAGGGGTGGGCCACCCCGGGCTCGGTAATCCGATTTAATCGGTTCTCTTTCCTTCCCGGTACGACGATTCGAACGAAACTGTTGGCAAAACTTGGAAACGTCGATAGAACGAGAGTAGAACCCGAGATCACGAGCACGAGAGAGGGGAGGGGGGTGGGCACGTTCGTAAGGCCTCTTTTTCGAATGAATACGAATTATGAACGAGAGACGAAAGTCACGCGATAATGGAAGTATTGGTAAGGTGTCTGGTTTGCGAAGAAATCCGGTACGTACGGTTATGCGAATGCGCGTAAGACGAAAACGTTGGTATTACGTTGCCTCTTGGTAACGGGATTAACGGACTAGAGTTACTCGTTGCATAGTTCGCTGCCTTATCTCAGCCTCCCTAATTGTCTATGACTATTCATCAAGTCATTTATACTCGACTCAATTACCGCCGCCATCAGTTACGAGACTCGAGTCACTTCGAATCCGGCTTCAGCGAAAGCCCCGACCATTTATCTTTACGCGAAGATATCCCGTAATTGCAAATCAGCCCCTAGACCGTCAATTAATGATTTGTTAACGAAACCATTTTTCTTGGAATTTAAACATTATTTTCTCGTTAAGAAATTACTTGAGATTTTTTTATATTTTTTTTTTTTATACAGCTTGACAGGTGATTGGGTATGTAATTTATGAAATGCATGTATTTAGCTATTAAACGCATTAATTTTTTTAATTAAATTGATAAATCAATTGAAATTTTTATATAAATAATTTTGGTTAATGTTTTTATGTTACGTTAAAAAAATAAAAAATAAAAAAAAAATATTTGCTAAGTGTGGGGTTCGAACCCACGCTCCCAGAGGGAACCAGAACTTAAGTCTGGCGCCTTAGACCGCTCGGCCAACCTAGCACCGTTGAAAAGGCTTATATTATTTGAGTACATAGGGTATCGAATCATTTCTATATATTTATATAAAATGACTAATATTATAAATATAACGTATTATGTTAAATGAGTATGTGTAAGATATAAATTAAGATATGATAAAATTTAATTTTAATGAGTATATAATAAAAATAAAATAAGAAATATCTTTCGAATATAGATTGATTTAAGAATAAATATTGCGATGTCGAGAAAAAAATTGTTCGATGATTCATGTTTGTTTGTTGAATGAATAGTAGTTTTTCAAACTCATATGGAAATTTAATTACGCATCTATTAATTGATGCAAAATTACAATAGAATACTAATTCACCATGAAGCGCTAACGAACTCTCCTTTGTTAGAAGTCGGAGAAAAATTATGGAAGTTGTAAAAGGCGAAGGGCGATTTGAATAATACAATCATTATTCACCCTCGTTGTTTTCAGCGTTGACTAATGATCGACTCAAGGAAATAGCGCGCACTCGTAAAACTCGATTGTGTTTAAGTACAAACGGTGTTCTTTCTATCGTATAAGAGCATATTGCTCTTTTATGCGTATTTCTCTTAGCGCGATTGAAATAATTATAATTCGAAACACTTACCGAAAAGATGGATATACTTCGTTCGTTCCAATGTAATCCGATAATCGTCTATCTTTTCGTAAGAAGATCCAATAATCTGTTTCCAGTAGTTAACACTTTAACACTTAACACAATATTCTGCGGATTTATATATCATCCACGATACTTCACTGATATAACAAATAGCAATTGTCTACACGATACGATTGTGCGTTGCACCGTCGATAAGATGGAATGACACATACAAGCATAGTGGTCTTGCAATAAAACCGAATCGTAGTATCTGGATTACATTCTTCGTTGTAAAAAAAGGTAACTTCCCTAAAAATAGTTCTAGTCGTTGTTAGTATTTATAAGGATAAGATTGATATCGTGCTTGATGTCAGGATCGCGTGCCACCAATATCGTACCAGTCTGCACCTATCCCATCGTTAAAATAAGTATTCCGCCATATTATTAACGTAATCACTCTCCGTCACTTTGAGAACTCGACAGAATACTCGATATTTTAAGTAGTCGAAACTTTTCATTTCACTTCCGACGTGATTATTTCCATTCACATTTATATTCGATGTATAACGTAATTTGTTTCGCGATCTCACGCAAATATAATATACGATTAATTAATTTTTCAAATGTTCGAAAAATGTGAACTTTAATGGTAAAATACCCAATACTATTGCACTATCGTTAAGACGTTAAACAAGAGAATGATTAATTGAGACACACATTCTTTCGAAAACACATGTTTTAGAATGTAAACTCGACGTCCTGAACCGTACATGTTGAATGCATCCCATCTGAATTTATCTTGACATTTATCTTAACATATATCTTGACTTTTCTTCGATTTTCTTCACTGAACTGACACATTTGAACAAGAAAAAGGTATCACTGACTGAAATTTCGATGATTTTGAAAGAATTCGATTATATTTTGTTTCGTTAAAAGTTTAATAAGAGTATAAAAAAATAATCTATGCAAGATACTTGTGAAACGAATCGATAAAATAGGTTAACATTGATCGAATACCCTTTATATTGACAAGAAGAAAAAAGATTACGTTTTTTATTAGAAGGCATTGACCGAGTTCATAATATTTTTCTTTGAAAGCAAAGAAGTTTACGTAAGCAACAGAAATGAACTTCGTGTCGAAGTTACTGCGTGAGATGTTTTTCTACGAATGTTTAATTGACAGGTTAGGTTATCGAGAAATAATCATAGAATAAGAAATCTAGCTTTATGGTAAATGAATGAAGGGCTTTGTATCCTAAGATTGATCGAGAATTTTGTTTGTAAATACTGATTATAAGCATCAACGACACGCAATCGTTTTCGAGGTTATCATATGAAAGGAACAGCGTCTCGTTATATCATTTTTAACCATTTCGATTTTTTACACTATCACACTTCATAAACACTTTTTATCCACGACGTACCTATAAAAATATATATAATAAAACTTAAATATATATAACAAAATGTAGTCGTTATCGAAATACGTTATACGATTATACGATTGAATTTTTTATATTCCCGCTTGACAGCGCCAACAGTAATGCAGTGTGACCAACGCAACAATCAAGAATCGATATTGTTGCAAGGTATATCGATTTTAAACGGTTGGTTGATTCCATTACTAGATTTTAAATTAGTATTGTCGAATAGCTTTTCAGTGTCGTGTGCAAAGTTGAATGTTGAGTTGAAAATACGATGGAATTTCCGCTTTCTAGAAAATGCAGACGGTGCACCATAATGATGTATGTATATAATCCTTTGACTTTGTGTACGGTACAGAGAAAAATTAGCTTTTTGAAATAATCCACGTGTGTTATTGGCTAGTAAGGGTCGTTTCATGTTCACCGCTCATTGTTTTCGTCGTACCACGAGGGACTGCTTTTATGCCAATACTTCAAAGTGCTATAACCTACGTGGGGTATCATACGATGCAAAAGTTACGTGGGTTAAAATCATGGACCATTATCATCGTCTTCAGGTGTCTTTCCAAGGTAACCTAATTGTAGATGCCAAATGGCGTCTTCGTATCTAATATTTTAAAATGGCGTGCATGACAAGCTTCTTTGTTACGCATGTATGTGTGTATATATATATATATATATATATATATATTCGTTTTATTTTTCACGTATATGTTATATTATATAGTACATTATATTATAATATACATATTATATACATAATATAATATGTATGTTATAATGAAATAGATGATTAATTTAAAAAATAAGTATAAATAATTTCCTTTAAAAAATAAATTCGGTTTAGAATCACATTTAAAATCATATAATATTCTATAACAAAGTTGCGTTAAAATTTGTCGTGATTCTACGTTATTTTTTATTTGGTCTGTGTATCTTCGCTTCTCATTACAATGTACAATGCGAGTGAAACGGAACTTTGTGATGTACACGCGTACCGATCTGAGCATCAGTGGAGAGGAACACTGTCGATTGCATCCGCCGAGAGGAGTACTAATCATGGAACTCGCTGTCTTTTAAGATTATTAAAATCGTCAAAGCTTCAAAGTCCTCAAAGGGTTAATTACCCTACGGGATATTTATGGCTGGGTTACTCTCTTCCCTCGCTCGCCAGGGAGCAGAGGCAAATAAAGAAGGAGCATGCGGACAGAGAAAAGGTAGACTGCGAACTGCCGTGGAAAGAGCCTTTCTCTTCGTATGTCATTGTCAGGGTCTGTAGATTGCTCAGACGGTAATTGATTTCCTGTGTCATGTCGAATAATTGAATGCCTAATATTATATATTTTTAAGCGAGAAAAAAAAAATAATATTTGATTTATATTTGACATTCTTCCAATGAATTCTTCAAGATATTTCTTGTAATTTGAATTTATGAGCAATGGAACAGTCTTTTATTTATTTCAAACAAATCATTTCCGACTTCTTTTATTGAAAATTGTTTTCTAAATACTGTTGTAAATATATATATATAGATATATTAAAATGGTCACAAGTTTTGCTAGAACAATAAGAGCTTTTTGTGTTACTATTTTAAGTTTAGTAATGAAATAATATAATAATAGTACACAATTTCTATTACATTATATGTTCTATATTACATTTCATTAAAATATATTTAAGAAAAAATTGAATTCTTCATAAAGAAAATGCAATCTTTAGCTTTTAATGCACATAACGATTATGCACTTCACGATTCAAAACTTTATTACAATGAAAAAAATAAAAGAAGGAGTAGCGATATTGGTCCGATGAAACCAGTAAATGGTTCAGGGTACAAAAAAACACGACACGTAGGAAGAGATGCGAAAAGTAATGTTGGAACGGTGATATCTGCAACGTTTATATCTTGTTACGAACGTACTTAGACAAAGTACTTACTCGCAATCGCTTTAAGAGCACGGGCATGCCAACTATGAAAGGTGTTAAGAGGAACCGTGAACGGGCTAGCCGCGATAATGCGCTCGTATAAACGTCTGTGTACTTCACATGGATTAATGTTCGAAGAAAAAGGTTTGCTCGCTGATGGACGCCATCGTCACGTTTTAAAAGACCACTGCCATGCTGTTACATGAACCGTGATATGATTCGTTTGCATTAAATATTCATACATGTATATATCCGTAAATCGTGAAAAAATAACGGAATACTAAATGCACGAGATTTGAATTACCAGCGAATGGTTTTAGTTGTCTGGAAAGAATCGTTCTTGGAATGTCTTGACAAGTTGTATCGTTCCTCGAAAATATTTTTTAAGAAATGAACTGGAATAACATGGTTGCTTTTAGTCAATTATATATTCATATACGGTTTTCTAATGATGTTATTCTTGTTAATGTCATTAATCGGGCACAAAATTTGCGTTCAATAGAAAATATAATACATTTTATTTTTTAAAGATTTCTATTTTTTTATTTTTTTCAGATTTTTTTTTCTATTTTTACTTTTCTGCATTTCTAATTTTTATTTTTATTATGTGAATATTTGTTGAGACACACGAATGAATTTTTTTTTGTATACGATTAATCATACGATTATTTTGTAATATTATAAAGTAAAATGCAAAATAACACATATTCCTTTTATTAAAAATCATTATACGTTGATTCTTTTCGTTTTTTCGCTTCTTGAGCATTCATATTAATTTACGCGTTCCTTGGTTAATCGATTCTTGGTTTAATTTCACAGTAGAACAAGTTATACGACCTCGAGCGATGACATTAACAAGACGACGAATTGTCTTCTGTTCCGTAGACGCGTTTCGGTATGTTTAACGCGCCACTAACTTTGGAATGACATGAATTACATGGGTGGCATTTGTCTGTATAGAATCTTTCACTGTCAAACTTAATTTTCGGTTAAAACAGGAATAAATAACAAAAACAGAAATATATATATATAAATTTGAAACGAATCCGAATTTAAAAATACGAGAATGTAAAATACTATACAAATGTAAAACAAATTTTACGAATGTATAAATAAACACCGAACTCGAATGCAAAAACACTGGATGGATGTAAAATCGGTTTTGGGATCAACGAGCAAATTGAATACTTAAATTTAAAAAAAAAAGAAACTATCTCGAACATCGGTTTTCAAATCGATGAACTAACGTTTAACAGCATGGCATGACGTTTAATCGAAACTATTACTAGCTACGTGCTATCGAAGAATCTCTTGATACCTTTATATTTATTATCTAAATGAAACCCATTTCTCTCGCAATTTGCAGCAACCTGCAAGCGCGTATTCAAACATGCCATTTCCAAGAAAGGTTTCCCTTATCGCAAGAGATGGCGAGTTCGACATAACGTTCGGAACCCTCGTTCGTCGTACTAAACGTTCCTAAATGAATCGTTAATCGTTTAACGGCGTGGCATTACGACTCTCAGCCTCGCTTATAAACCGGAAATTCGTCGGTCGAATGTCCAACTGTCCAAATCGTTCGAACCTCTTCCGGTCAATAAAGCCAGGCCTGTTTTATCGCTAAAAGAGACCTAGCTCCCGGCCTATCGTTAAAGCGTACGTTAAACGCACTGTTTTTTCATTTCGTTAAATCGTCCCTGCCCCTTTCCTCTTTCCGACACCGGTTCGCTCTTTCTCCCTCCTCTATACTATACATAACCGTTCTCCGCTCCCGCGGAACGAGACTCGGTAGGATCGTCGAAAGGTTGTAAACGGTCGGCTCATCCAATACGGAATGTCGACTACTAACGAAATAGTCCGGATTCCTGGCTTTATTAAGGCTTCGGTTTATGCGGGACGTTTTGAACGTTGACCCACGTGCGCCATCGGAAACAAAGCCGACCAGGACGAGGAGAGAGAAAAAGAGAGAGATAGAGAGAGAGAGAGAGAGAAAGAGCTCGACTTGGATTTTGATGAGCGGCATAAAAGTGCGCGTAGTCGGGTGCGCGATGATAAAAACGATTACGCTCTTCCTCGTTTAATCGTCGCAGTTAAACGTTACTCGTTGCGTTTTCACGGGTGAAATTTATCGTGACAAGAACGCTGATGATCCTTTTTGTTACTTTTTTCTTTTCTTTCTTTCCTCTCGTGTTCTTTCAGCGCGTGAAAAAAAAAAACGGAGGATAAAATTAGAAAAATTACGTTGAGAGCGCGAAGCGTGACGATTCGATCCGCGTTCGTAATATTGGACGAGGGTAAACAGGAAGGTTTGATGTCATTTATGGGATACGGAAGTCCCGCAGATTTATGATATTCTATTATATGTTGTGGACGATACAAAAATAGCGTGCGACAGGTTTATGCTTTTATTAGCGGTTTTATGCGTTTGAAGAAAATTCTAATTCGCTTTTTGCGCCTTGGGAACCCTTCGGCTTTTTTGCACCCTTTCGATCGTCCCGTGGTTGCGAGTGAACACGATTCAACCCGGTCGCGCCCCAAATAATCGTAAAATTTGATAATTAAATTTAATCGCGTCTCCCGAATGGCCCTGCGTCGTTGCTATTGTGTCCGTTCACCGAGCGTTTACTGCGATGCGCGATTACGCGAACCTTTAAAACATATGCTTTACGCGCACCGTCTTGGATACGCCATTACGAGCTTGACACGTCATTAAGTTCATTAATGCTTACAGTGCAAGTCGTTTCGTGCAGTTTCGACTCTCCTGAACCGAAACGGTTGCCTTCTCTCCAATAACAATTCTCATAACATAACCGTACACGGTTGAATATTACCGTTCCTTTCTTTTTTTACTCGCGATACAGTTTAAATTAAGATCGCTTAAAATAGAAATCATCGGAAACGCAGTATCTAACGCGCGTCGTTATTAATGTATCATATTATACGTACGCTGGTATTCCATTAAACGGACTCGGTTGATAGTAGCGCGTAGTATATTTTCCATCGCGTTGATGGAAAGAAACGCGATCAAGGCGTAATTGTGCGAGTTGTCGCACTGCTCGAAGCAGGTTTCGATTAACCGACGTCTCGGTGATTGGCGGGAAAAATGCGATTGAAATCGCGTGTACCAACCGCTCGTCCCCTGTTATTTCAACTGTTAAGCTGTTTTTCGTAGTACACGGGAAACGAAAGCAGCGTGAAAGGGTTATGCGTCGTTGTCAGGTTTGTCGACAGGAAGGAGAAAAATGAATGAAAAGGGACGGGAGGGGCAGAGAGAGAGAGAGAGAGAGAGAGATAGAGAGGGGGGTAAAAAAGAGACGAAACGAAAGAAACTACGTCTGGAGCGTAATTTGTACTCTGTCATACAGTCGGGGGTCGTTGTATTAGCAACACGACAGAAAAGTTATCGCGGTGCTTAAAAGCACTAGCCCGTAGTATTAAGCGTCGCGATACTACTCGAGCAATCTTGTCTCGCTAAATGCTAGAGTGCACGTAATTCCACGGAAGATATTGGATAACCCTCGAGTGCATGGTCGACCGTTAAAGGGAGGAGGATGGGAGGGTTAACTACGTGGAATATATCTTTATCGTGGGTGAAAACGTGCGTATCACAATGATAGTTCATTTTGCGAGGTGGAGGAGGTGCT